GTAATTCCATGTCTGGGTATTTAATACTCCATCATATGAAACTAGATTTCTGCTTATGGCCAAGATAAAGTAATGAGGACAGGATTTATCTTCCCACTGAAAATGAAAACATTAATTTAAAGAGATATGTGTAACTCTATGTTTATTGTAGCATTTACAATAGCCAAGAAAAAGCAATCTAGGTTTCCATTGATAGAGAAATGGATAAAGAAGATATGATATACATATATAAGTATTTATATAATATATGATGTATATATAATATATGCAGTGGAATATTAAGCAGCCCAAGAAAGAATGAAATGTATGAAATATTGCCATTTGAGACAACATGGATGGACAAAGAGGGTAAAATAAGTCAGAGAAAAACAAATGCCATATGGTTTCATTGATATGAGGAATCTAAAAACAGAAAATAAATGACTAAACAAAAACAGACCAATAGAAACAGAGAACAAGCTGATGATTGCCAGAGGGTAGCAGGATGGGGTGAATAAGGTGAAGGGGAATAAGAGGTACACACTTCCAGTTATAAGAAAATATATGTCATGAGGAAATATAGAATAGTCAATTCTATTGCCATAACTTTGTATGACAGATGGGTACTTGCCTTAGTGTGGTGATCATATTATAAGATACTAGAGGCCCGGTGCACAAAATTCGTGCACTCAGGGGCTGGTCCCTCAGCCTGGCCTGCGCCCTCTAGCAGTCCAGGAGCCTTCAGGGGATGTCCAACTGCCACGGAAGCAGGAGAGGCTCCTGCCACCGCTGTTTTGCTTGCCAGCCATGAGCCCAGCTTAGGGCTTTTGGCTGAATGGTTCCTCTGAGCCAGTCATCGTGTGTATCTGCCCTCCCCCTGCCCCCTGATTGATCGCCCCACAAGGGTGGTCTGGAGGCTCAGGCCACCCGGCTGGCGGTGCTGCAGTGGGTGGGCAGGGCCTCCTTCTGTGGGGCAATCGATCTGGGGGCTCCACGATTGATTGCCCTACAGAGGGAGGCCCAGGCCAACCAAGGGATCACACCCCATGCCTGTCGCCTGCAGAGGGAGGCGACCAGTGGTGGGTGGGGAGGGGGGAGGCAGTGCCACACAGATGGCAAGCAGTGGCAGTGGCAGGGGCGGGGCAAGCTGCCAGCAGCTGGGGGAAGGAAAGCCCTGATCGACCCTGATCACTGGTCAGGCCTAGGGACTCTACCTGAGGGGTCCCAGATTGAGAGAGGGTGCAGGCTAGGCTGAGGGACACCCCCCCCGTCCCCGTGCATGAATTTCATGCACTGAGCCTCTAGTATAGGATATAAATGTCAAATCACTATGTTGTACTCCTGAAAAAAATATAATATTGTATCTCAACTTTAATAAAATATAAAATAAATAACTAAAATTGAAAAAAGTCTTACTTTAACTTTTAGATGAAAAATATGATTATATCTATTACTGAAAACCCTTTAATATGCTCCTTTGCCCTTAGGATAAAAACTGAAATTCCTTGACATAGCCTAAAAGAACCTCATGGTCTGCCCCTGCACACCTTTTCAGTGTTACCACAAGGCAGGTACATACCCTCCTGCATTCCTTGTTCTTCCCCCGGACCTGGTTTTAGTTCTCAAAGGCATCAGTCCTGCGCTAGCTTCACTATCACTTCATCCACCACTGCATGCTCATCTACTCATCTTTGGGATCGAAAAGCAAATTTTGCTTCAGTAGAGAGAGAGTTACTATTGTTCTCCTTCCATACTTTTTGTCAGTCACATCAACTCCGTGAGGCTATCACAGCAGGGACTGGTCTTCCTCATCACCATGCCTATGCCCTCGCCAGTCCCTCTGCCCCAATGTCCTCTCTGCTTTAATTCAAGGCAGTGTTACCTCCTCTTGAAAACTTTCCATAAACCTCTTCCATCCCTCTCCTACTCTCCTCCCAGTCTGAGTACACTGTCTCTCCACACTTTCTTAATACCCTCCATCCTAGTGGTTTTCAAAATCTACTGAAAGTTCCCTTGCCCTTACCCCTAATCGGGGGTGGAAAAAGGGTCCATCTGGTTCTTCTCTGCATTTCCAGACCCCAGCAGAGCCTGGTGTGTACAGAGTTCTCTTTCAGTACTGTTTGCTGATGAATATATGGCTGCACAGGGCTCTTGCCCCTACTAAGCACTGATATGAGGCTATGTGGACACTATACTTAATGGGGAGAGCTGCCCTTAAAAAAAGGAGTTACATTAGTTAAGTAGAACAAATCATATTTGATGCTTTTGTCAAACTCCCTGACTTTGGCTCGAGATGAGTGCACTAATGAAATGCCTCTCAACCGCCTAGGTCGGGGTCTACTGAGATGGGTAATTGCAGCCCTGACAATACATTACTTGCACTGTCAACAGTTTTTTGTTCTCTCTCTTGCAAAATGCAGAGTAAAGTGGAAAATGCTGTGGGAACTCAGTGGCATTTAATTTACTGATAAGACGCAGTAGGAGCCTTTCTTTAACCTGGCTGTGACAGCAATAGTGTGTGGACAAGTATTAGGTTTGGAATGCAATTGGCAAACTATTTTACACCCTGTGCGCCACTCTTCCCATCTCTAGAATTAAACTGATGGAAGAGAATGCTTGTCCCACCATGGTAGTTACTATGGTGATGGATGGCTGAGATACAATGTTTTCCTGCCCTGGCCATGCCAATTCCTTTGGATTCAGCTTGTTATTCTGCAGAGGGAGAAATGACCAGCAGGTCTCATTTTTTTTCTTTGAATTGGGAAGTTGTGAGCAAGCCATGGCAGAGAAAGGCCATTATACTGGCATTTTGTGCAGAGAACCCAGGGCTGCTGTGCTGGGTGTGCACTCTCAGTGAGAAGCAGGGCTGTGGTGGTGCACACAGAAACACCTGTATGGGGGAGTGGGACCTGAAGGGACCTGGTCTGAGACTTTAGGTGCCCCAGGTCCTGCCCAGGTCCTCCAAGGGCCAAGGAGATGGGTATTTTTGGGGTAGAGCCCCAGTCAAGAAGCTCTGCTGTGGGTTCACTCCATCACTTGGCTACTACAAGGGCCGTGTCCTCAGCTGGAGGCGCCCACTCAGCAGCATCAGATGAACTTAAGCCAGGCCAGGAGCATAGCTGATCAGAAGGTAGCAGCTGGGGCTAGGAGGTCTGGCATCAGACGATGCGATTGCCGAACTCCTTCAGTACATAGACAGCCAGTTCTTCCCAGGCCCCCGGTGGCCAGAGCTGCCAGACACAGAATTCAGTTACATATGAAAGACTGCTAGGCACTCACAGGGACTGCAGGGCCAGTCTCGGAGGCTCTCCAGCCAGGGAAGTGCCCAACCCATCCATGAGGCTTCCCTGGGCCAGATCCCACGACTGCTGGACACAGACACCACCCAGCATGCCAGACACAGGCATCCGAAGTCCAACCTGCACCCACTGGTGATCGGGAACTGTGCACTGCAAGTCCACCTGCGGCCCCTGAAAAGCCAGGATGTTTTCACCATCTCCTGCATCCCCAAAGGGATCCACGCGGCATCTCACATTCCTGGCATCTGAGTGGAGGACACACATAGAGTCTAGGTGAGTGTCTGCACCTGGCCTGACAGGCGGCTGAGGGAGCAGGGGCTGCCTCCTACCAGGGCAGGCAGGACTCGTACATGGGATGGGAGTCCCCCTTAGGGAGGCAGTTCCAAATCAACCAGTGGGCCACAGTGTGACTAGCACCCACTGCATCTCCCAAAGCCACATGTCATTATCTTCCTCTATCAACAAGTCCCGTTCTGGTCTTTTCTAGGTCAGGGGATGCCATTGTCATCCCCCCAGTCCACTGGTGCCAGCTGAGAACTGGGCTTGGTTCCTCACTCCCCTGAGCACTTCCACCCAGAGCATCTCCAAGTCACACCCACTCTGCCTCCTGAACAGCTTATTATCTTGTCCCAGTTCCACTCATTGGATCCAGGCCCTCGCCACCTCACCTGGCACAGCGACCCCTTTCTCCTGGCTCCAGCCCCTTTCTCCTGGCTCCAGGCCTCGGACTGCCCACACCACCTCTTCTCCCTGCTCTTCCTGCTGATATTCACTACAGTGTCAACCCTCGGGCTTCAAGTCTCATGGTGGGTCCTCACTGCCTTCAAGAGAGAATTCAACCCCCCTGATCCTGTGGTAACTCTTATGTTTACTTCTTACTCTCATGCATCTAGTACTCCAATAATATTCTTATTCTCTAACAGAACAATAAAACAGCTGCAGTGTACTGCGTACATACTGTATATGCCATGTCAATGCCTTCACAGTGTTCGTGGAGGTAAGTGCGTCTTTCAGCATAAGAGAGTGGGGCCACGGCAGCCCCAGCATTCAAAATAGGTCTGCCGACTCCCAAGTCACACCTTCAGCCAGGCCTCCATCAGCTCGGTCTTTACTGAATTTCTTGCTGCTGGTTGAAGAAGACTGCTTTCTCCCACTTCTATTCGATGTTCCTTTCCTCCTGCTTCAAATGGCACCCTTCTCTGTTCCTACCTGAGTGTCACTCTGCTGCTCATTCTGGGATAGGCTCTTTAGAGAAGCCTTTCCCACTCTCCCTGCCCCATCGCAGGTGCCCCCAACAGAGCCTCCCCACAGAGCCAGAGCCCACCTAGCCACACTGCTTAACTGGTGATGTTTACTTTCACATGTTTTAAATTTCAAACTTAATTAAATTAAATTAAATTATTTAATTAAACTTAATTTAATTGCAATTTAATTTAATTGCAGGTGGTACCAGGTGGCTTGGTACCATTCAGGCTGTTAATCTTATTAGTGCACTCGGTCCTCCTGCTGCAGCCAAATATATAAATTGCTCATCAGTTTCAGTCTCCAGGACAGGGTAAGTCCTATCTCCTGGAGATCAGCAGGGTCAATGATTACAACAAGCCATTCCCGCTGTGAACTGATTGAGATCTAGGCGAGAATGTATCTACGATTTGTGTACCCGAGACCCCAGCCCCTTGACAAATTTCCCAGAGAGTGAGGCCCCGAAAGACTAGTACATACCTGTGGGGACAGTGCTCCGGGCCTGGCTAGCCGCTGGGGGAGCTGAGTGCCACAGACAACTGCCCACCGGGGGAGAGGCTGCCTGGTGCTGGGCCTGGGGTGTGGCGAGGGGGAGGGCTGCTCTCGCGGCGGTGGCAGGGCTGCTCAGGCTCCCACCGCCTGGGTGGATGCTTGTGGCCATCCCTTTGGCCAGTGGAGACCCTCCAACCACATTATTCCCAGGTGGCCCCGCCCCTCCTAAGGGAGCCCTGAGGAAAAAAAGAGAATGAACTCAAGTGACAGTGCAGACAAAACCACCCCACGTGGGCCATTGGTAAAGGCCTGCTCTTACACACTGGCCTTTCTGAGATGAAAGCCAGGCAGGCCAGGAGAGAACCCTAAAACAAAGCCAAGATAACCCTTGTAGGCAAACAATGCCCAGAGCTCCAGCTGAGAGGGCACCCTCTGTAAATCTTCATGGGGGCTAACTCTTTGTGAATATTCAAGAAGTAGCAAAAGAACCCTGAAAAACAGAGGCATTATTCCAACCAATAAAATATTTTGTACCAGAGCTACTGTTTTGACTCATTCTAACAAACAGCTGTGTGTCCCCAAACACCTCCAGAAAGAGCGATGGCTCAGTCACATCCCACGAGGCTTGGACACATCTGGCACCTGGCGGGAAGCAGTGGCAGGACCTACTCCCTCTGGACAAGGCCACCGCCTTGCTCTGCCGGCCTCTGGGAAGGGCACCAACAGACCATGTCCCGCTGAGAGATGTCAGGGAACTTGCAGCTTCTTACCAGAAAATAGATGCCCTTTCAGCCCACGGTTTCCAGATGAAACCAGTGTAGAGTGTTTCAGAAAAACCAATGGAAAACAGCAACTTGGAAGACGGGCTGTTCACACTTGCACACTTTGCATATTTGTGCTGTGGGGTGCAGAATACAGTGGAGGCGGGTTTTGCAAGGTGTTTAGTTTCAGGGGACTGGAATATCTTCCATTTGTCCAAGAGCTCAGTAAACTCCCCTTTGTCTTCTTGGGATCTCAGTCATGAGACACCAGAAGCCACACCTGGGAGAGAACAGGCTCTGCTGGGCGTGGCTCCTGGCCAGGTCAGAGGCCCCTCTCCAAGTGGCTTGGTACCATTGGGTCTGACTTCAAATGGTCATTGAGTCAGGTTTCTGCAGAACAGCTCTGGGGAAAGCCTCCTAGGGAAGGACCCAACTGTCCAGGGACTGGGCAGCACCTTCCCTCACTAGTTGTAGAGCTGCCTTGAAATTCACTTCCAGCATGAACCTGTCAGCTGGCCAGCCAAAACCATGACATTTAAAAAATCACATCTGCTACCTGCTGAACTCACTTTTTCCCTAGGAAATTTTTAAAAATTAAGTAAAGTGGGCTTGCAAATTGTGGGCCTTCCCAGGAATGACAAGAGGTGTGAGCCTGCCTCCAGGCTGGCACTGCCCCTTGGGCGCTTAGAAGTATGGATCTCTAGCACCAATGCAACATGTAAGCACTGTTTAATTTTTTTTCACAGCAGTCTTGTTTCAAAGGGAGTACAAGGGCCACGTCTCCAGTTTTCTTATGTGCCCTGGATGTTGACGCAGCTCTGAACCGGTAAAGGTCTTCCCTGAGCGAGACGGACTGAAGATCAAGCAGTGCCCTCATCTCAATGGGAAATTCTCAGACAACTCTGGATAACATTTTCAGCGAATTTTTAAAATTGCTCTGTTTTAATAAAAATAATATAACATACCCTAACCGGTTTGGCTCAGTGGATAGAGCGTTGGCCTGCGGACTCAAGGGTCCCAGGTTCAATTCCAGTCAAGGGCATGTACCTTGGTTGCAGGCACATACCCAGTAGGGAGTGTGCAGGAGGCAGCTGATCGATGTTTCTCTCTCATTGATGTTTCTAACTCTCTATCCCTCTCCCTTCCTCTCTGTAAAAAATCAATAAAATATATTTTTTAAAAATAATATAACAGACATTTTGTAAGACACAGGAAAGCACAAGGAAAAAAACACTTTTATCTATAATGCTACCAGTTAATAACAATTGCTGACTTTGGGGAGTACATCACTTTTCCTTTGCACATATGCATGTATGCGTGTTTTATGTAGAGCAGGTCCATGTGACAGCACATGTGCCTGCTATACTCTCACTGTGCACAGGAACCCCCCCTCCCCACATCCACACCCACACCCAAACCTGTGAGATCTCGCCCTCCTTGGTGACTCTGCCTCCACTTACTGCTACTGCCCTGACTGCAGCTTATTCTGCTCCCACCCTCTCCCTGAGCAGCCAGTGTCTGTTCCGGAAAAGACAAGCAAACCTAATTCGGAAGGGGAAATGCTTGCTACCTAGAACCCTTGTTCAAGGGGACTCTGAGCTCACAGGGCTGAACCTCACAGGCAGGGGCTTCCTGGCTGCCTTCTGAACTGTGTTTTGGGGTGGCCCAGTGATGACAGCTGCAGGGAAATGGGAGGGGGGATCCTCCTTCCTCTCCCAGGCAGCGACTACGACCTCACCTGGAAGCAGGAGTCACATAGTTTCCTGGGAACACCCCAGAGAGCCCAGACCTCAGGGACGTGCCCTTGAACCAGCCATCCTGACACTTCTCCAGGACGCAGTACATCTCGCCCTTGCGCAGCTCCAGCTCGTCACTCTTCTGGGGCTTGTAGGTGTAGAGTGCCAGGTACCTGCAGGCAGAAGAAGCAGGGCCAGGATCAGTAGTGGCAGGCAGGGCGGGCATAGAGCCACTGTGTTGTCCCCTGAGTCACATGTGAGCTCTTCTGTGGGTAAACCCAACTTAAGAGTAGCTGATGCCTCTGGGGACTGGCACACACAGCATGTGACCTGCTCTTCCCAGTAAAGCAATGAGGGGCTCGGGGAGAGGCATTCCCAGCACTGCCAGGTCCAGGGAGGCACTGGCAGGGAAGGGGCAGAGCTCTGCCCTGATCCTAGAGCCCATGGTCATGCCCAGCCCTGCGCCTACCCAATCAAGTGTGCAGCCAGGAGCACCTTTCCGACCTGACAGCTCAGTGAGGCTCCTTGAGCCGTGAGAGGCCCTGGGGTGTCAGAAGTAGATCTGGGGCCAGGTCTTAGGGGCCCCCCTGTTTTTGTTCATTTGTTTACTATTTTCTACACTGTCTATAACTTGGTGCTCTGGGCAAGAGAAATCTTTAGGAAAAACAGGGAGCAAGAGAACAAGCTGGAATGGGTTTTCCTTGTTTAGTCTCTGGCCCAGCCTTACCTTCGATCTGAGCTGGCAGAGGCCTCGAGGCCCTGAGTAGAGAAAAGGCAGCCTAGGTAGGGAATTCTTGGTTACATTCTTCCTTGCAATATTTGTACCACAACTAATTATTTAAATTTTACTTTTTTTTTTAAAGTAAGTTTATTTGAAGACAAGGAAAGAACAAACTTAGTGGTGGAAATTCCCACTTAGGGCCCAGAAAGTGGGCCTCCAAGCTGCCAAGAGCCACAGCAAGGCCCTCTGTAACAGATCTAGTGACCTGACCCCAGCCTCCCAGGGCACTCTGAGGACTGGGAAATGCTGCAGGTGCTTTGCTGCTTGGGGTGTGAAGAATGGTTAGTTGTGAGCTGATAAAACTGTGAGGCAGTTTCCTGCAGACACAGATTCACTCGACATTGCCCCTCCCAAGGGCTGCCTGAAGCCCACAGGGCTCTCTGTGGTTGGGGAAGCTAAGGTGCCATCTGGGCTCCAGATTCCCCTGAGGATCAGCTGCGCTTCCCCCAAGCACAGCTCAGCGCTGGCTCCCTCACAGGCCTGACTCCCAGCGGCAGTCCTCCCCCAATGCAGGGCAGTCCTCCACACGCGGCAGGAAACCCGACTTAGCACTAGTGCTGCTGAGGACCCACTGGCACCTACAGGCCCCCACGCTGGCTTTCTGTCAGTTGGCCCTGCTGGCACCTTCACAAGTGCCCACACTCTGCCCACAGGCTCCCACTCTGTTCAGGGTGACTTTCTGCCCTTCCCCTGTGCATTCTTCTCCACTCCCTCCCGGCCGGGGCCTGGTTCTGCTCTCTCCCTGAAGGTGATCAGCATAACAGGGTGCAGGAGGGCAGTACCGTGCTGCTGCAGGAGCTTCCCACAAGCTGGGTGCTGTCAGAGGAGGCTGGATTGTGGGGTCACCCCCCTGGCGCCTCACCACAGAGCAGGGACTTACATTACCGGGTCTTAATGTACTGAGCTCACACTGGTCAAGCCCCCTGCAGCCCGAGGTGCAGAGCCAGCCCTGTGTTACGGATCTGGGTAGAAGCGATCCCATCCCATGTGAGGCATGGCTCCCACCATCACAGACTGTGTAAACATTAGAAGGCGGTTTGGCGACCTTTTCCTGTCCCCACAGGTCCTTCACTCCCCTCATCTGAGAAACCCATGGAGAAGTGGAGGTAAGATTCACTCACAGCCCAAGTGGTGGCCTATTTATAAGGGCTGCTCCTACCCGAAGTGTGGCCTCCAGGACCAGATATTTATGCCCCAGGAAGCTCTACAAGGCAGGCAGATGAAGAGCAGACAAGCCCGGGTCAGGGAGTGGACTTTGAGTGGCCTCCCAATGCCAGGCAGTGAGAAGGGAGGGTGTGGGCTCCTGCAGGCCTCAGTGTGTCACGGGAGAGATGAGCAGCTACCTCCTGCACTGGGTAAGCAAACTGAGATCCCTCTTTGTGGGTTTGTGTTTTTTTAAAAAATATATTTTATTGATTTTTTACAGAGAGGAGGGGAGAGGGATAGAGAGTTAGAAACATCGATGAGAGAGAAACATCGATCAGCTGCCTCCTGCACACTCCCTACTGGGAATGTGCCCACAACCAAGGTATATGCCCTTGACCGAAATCGAACCTGGGACCCTTCAGTCCACAGCCCGACGCTCTATCCACTGAGTCAAACTGGTCAGGGCCCCCTTGTGTTTTAAGACAACCAAAGCCTTAGACAATCAGTGTCCATGGGAACTTTTATATGCTAGAAGAAGAGGGTAAGAACACTCTTCGACCTTTGGCTGACCTGAGCGATCAGGCCTTTCAATTATATGGGCTCACACTTCAGAGCATGTGACTTGACCTGCAGAAGGCAAACCCTGCATGGACGAGGATGACTGGAGTCATTCTGTCACAGACCTTCTGATAGCCTGGCCGGTGTGTGTCACAGACCCCTGGCTCACAGTAGCATGCTCACTGCCACTCTTGTCTCTGTGCAGGCGGCCCTCTCATGCACAACCTCAGACCATCTGTGAACATGACTACTGCTACTGTTTTGGGAAGGACAGACAGAGAACAACCACATTCCCACCCTACATGCCTGCCACCGGCATGCACGGACCACTAACTTCTTAGAGCTAAAAAGGATAGATGAGTGATCAGGTTAATCTGATAAACCAATGAAGTCATTGGATCATTTTCTCCCTAGTAATAAAATAAAGACTGATTTCAAAGGTCATGTTCTCAAAGTGGATTGTGCATAGTGCTGTAACGTATGAGATATTACTTGCCATGGTGCTTGGCACTTGGTACAAACAGCCATGGGAAGCACACAATGAACCAGTCTCAAGCATTGCTGGCCATGGTTCCTCTGCTACTCAGATGACCACTGTGACTAGCAGACACATCTCTGCCAAAATGCTCATCATCCTTTCAAGGACAGTATTTGACATGGAAGTCTTCCTTCTGTTACCCAAATGAAAATCAACCCAGACACGGACAGCCATGCTCTGGGAGGAGACAGAGAAGGAGAGAGCAGAGGGATGGGGTCCCCAATGGCAGAGTGGGGTGGGGTGGGAAAAGAAGTCTTTCAATCTCCACACAAAATTGAAAAGCCTGCAAGGTATGGGAGGTCTGTGCGTGGTGGGGCCTCCAAAATGTACTCACACACCTGGGAGTGACATTCTTGGAACTGTGCTACCTTTTGGGTCTCAAAGACAGAGCAGCCTTCTTGGGTGGCTGGTTTGATGCAGAGTTGGGGACTTTGGGCCAACACCGGGAGTCCTCTGCACCGAGGAGGGGTAAGGCTGTGGCTCTCATTGAACAAGAAAACATCTGCTGAAAGCCTGTGTGCTGGGCATTCATTTTGAGACCCAAAAAGTGGAACATCTGAGCCTTGTTCTGCAAGAGTTCACGGTGTCCTGACTCTCATTTAGGAAAGTCCACGAGGGCCCAAGGGTCTCCTGTGGATGAAGATCTATTTTCTCAGGGAAAGGAAATCCAATGTTAGAAGAGCAAGACCATCACCACCATCCTTTCCCACGTGCCTCCTCGGCCCAGGTCTGAGTGGAAGCCATTGGATCTTACCCAGGAGACCCAGTCAGAAGACAGCACCTTCTGTCCAGTGTTGGTGAAAACGTGGGTTTCAGCGTAAAGACATCTAGAAGGCAGTGTACTAATCGATGCTCCCCTCGGGAAGCTAGGTTAAATATAGGTAAGCCTCAATCTCCTTTTGTTTACCTGGATGATAATAACCAACTCACAGCACTGTGGGCAAATAAACGGAGGATGTTCATGATTCCCTACCTGTCCCCACGTAAGGCAAACGTTTCCACTAGGCCGAGGGAGGCAGGGACGCATGTACCAGGTATTTAAGCTACTTCTAGGAAACCTTCTGGAGCTTGGCAAGTTGCTTTTTCAAGAGGCATTTTGCTTGAAATACATTCTGTTCTGCACCAACACAGATTCCAAGTGTCCTTCTGACTGCGTAGTATCTGTGAACCTTTTCCTTCCCCAATTATTGACCAAATTCTTACTCTCCACCTTAGAACATTCGTTCAGGTAACTGGCTCATTGCAAACAAAAGAGTAGAAGGCAGTCTAATTCTTCAGAACGCTATTTAAGTGGGGAGTTTTTATACTGCACGTATCTTTTAAGAACTGTAATTTAACAAGAGTAGGTTCTAAGCAAGACAAGCATGTCACTTCCAGCAGTGACTCATCAGGGTGTATTTGGCTGTGACACACAGCTTCTGTGCATGGGTATGGCAGTGACAGCTACTAAGATGCTGAGCTACTCTGAGCAGCTAGTAACTAGCCACCATAAAGACCCCACGACCTCCCACTGCGCCAGCATCCTCCCACTCCGACCCACAGCCCACACCTTCTCATGGGCCTGTGAGGTGTTCTCTTTGCTATGGTTGGTCCTCTCCTGATTGGCCAGTGCCTGTATCATCAAATATTTTGATTATGCCCTCTGCTCATAATAAATGTCCTAGGGACAATACCATTTAAAATCCTGCTAAACTTTTCTGCACTTTCCTGTCAGTACTATTATTAGATGCACATAATTAAAACTGACCAGCTAGTGGGCAGCTGGTGTGGCTCAGTGGTTGAGTGTTGACCCATGAACCAGGAGGTCACAGTTTGATTGCTGGTCAGGGCACATGCCTGAGTTGTAGGCTTGATCCCCAGTAGGGGGCATGTGTGAGGCAGGTGATAAATGTTTCTCTCTCATTGATATTTCTATCTCTCTATCCCTCTCCCTTCCTCTCTCTCTAAAATCAATTAAAATATTTAAAAAATAAATAAATAAAATAAACTGACCAACTAGTAACACATGAGACCCCCACAGAAACCATACATTTCCACGCCAGCAGGTGAGATGGAGATGCTGAGGGCATGGGACCCCAAAACACAAACAGCAGCTCACACATTGAGAGGCAGCTGCCCTTTGGGGGCCATGTCCTGCGGGTCAGCCGCTGGGCTGGATCCGGCAGAGGAGGAGTCCTGTAAACAGACAAGAAGAGAGTGAGCTGACAGGCGGCCCTGCCCAGGAAGGAGAAAGACAACGTCGCATGGCATCATGAAGCATCTGTCCTCCCCTCAGGGTCTACTTGCCTGGGTTGTTAATGACGTTTTTTTCCCATATACTGGGGAGAGCTTGGCGCCCAATGACGGGCCCACGGCAGCTCTCCAGAGCCCTCCTGGAGCAGCTGCTCAGAACCCCTTTCTGTGACTGCATCTGGGACCATCAGCACCACTCTGTGCTGAATATGGAAGAAGGCAGTTTCGGGAAGTGCATCTTTATTCTTAGAGCTTGAATGAATTATTCTTGTGTTTGTAAAAAGAAAATCCAGACAAAACCTTTCATGCTATAAAGCCTGCGCTCATAGAAAAATTGCATTCCCAGGAACTGAAGAGTAATCTCTACAGAAAGCTGATTCTTTGGCTGTGGACAGAGGGCAGGTTGTAGGGCAACAGGACTGACAGAGCCTAGCATCTCCCACCGCAGCCCTGAGGGACTCAAAGCTTCAGGGTTTATTGTGCAAGGAGATGACTGGAGGGACGTCTGCTTCTAGATAGTTCCTTACAATCAGGTGCATGCTAAGCCGGCTGAGGGAAGTGGTTAAGGGCCAGCAGAGAGGTCTGGGCTGTGCATAATCTCGCTGAGGCGATTCCTGCACAGAGGCCCCTGTAGACCCAGCCACAATGAACTGAATTGTGTCCCCCAAAAGATATGTCCAAGTTATAGCTCCTAGTGGCTGTGAAGGTGGCCTTATGGGAATAAAGGTCTTTGTAGATATAGGTAAGGATCTTAAAATGAGATTACCCTTGAATAGAGTGGGCCCTAAATCCAATGACAAGTGTCCTCATGAGAGAGAGAAAAGGAGGACAGAGAGACCTGAGAGGAAGGAAAGCCACTTGAAGAACAAGGCAGAGACTGGAGAGATGCATCTATAAGCTCAGGAACACCAAGGATTGCTGGCAGCCACCAGATGCTGGGAGAGAGGTCTGGGATGGATTCTCCCTCAGCCTCCAGAAGCAACCAATCCTGCCCACCAACACCTTGATTTTGGACTTCTGGCTTCCAGAACTGTTATTAAGCCACCCAGTTTGTGGTACTGTTACAGCAGCCCCAGGGAACTAGTAAAACTCTATTCACTGCCCTTGCTTAGCTGATGAGCTATATGTGCTAAGGCAACCTTCCAATCCCTCCTGGGTGGTCGACTTCCCTCCTCCACCAGGGATCATGAAAGGTGCTGGAAACCACAGCACATCTACAACCTCTAAGAAGTTAGAAATTCTATTCCTTCTTGTTTAAACAATGAAGTGCCTGGCAGAATGAGAGCATGCAATACAGAAGCGTAACTTCCCTCATTTCTCCAAGACACCGTGAAGTTTCAAAGGACTTCCCACTCCAAGCTCCAGCACCTGCGAGAGACTGCTTCCCAGAGGCAGCCCCTCCCCAAGCATCCCTGTGGCTGATGCAAGATGCTGCTTCCTGGGGTGCCGTGTGGGAATGGGCTAAAGGTGGGGGACATTCCTCTGCTGACAGATGTGGGGGACTTCTGTCTGCTCATCACACCTGCCGAGCCTAGGAGGGGAGACAGACCAGAAGGCATTCACCATCAAAGCTTGGGAATGTTTTCCTTCAAGATGCTGGAGGAGTTCACCACAGCTGGCCAGGGACCTCCTCCACAGGCTGCAGGCTGGGGTGGGCACTGGTTCCAGGCCCTTCCTCCCCTGGGGTATGAACAAGCACCCCTAGTGCTGGTTCCCCCACAGCTGTCCCTTCTTGGATGGTCCCTGGAGAAAGGTGTGGGCAGGATGTCAGGGCCCTTCACTCACTCACTCACTCACTCAGACACGGGCAGGTGGCTCCATGCTGGAGGTGATAGCCGAGGCCTAGGAGCACCCCGTGTGCCACTCGTCAGCTGAGCAAAGTCAGACCTGGTCGGTAAGCTGATGAGAAATGTTCCCTCCCCCCTCGGCTCTGCATACAAGCAAGAAAGTAGTGTGACAGTCAATTGAGTTGTAGGGTTGTCCTGCCTACATGAAGCATGATCTAGGTCCTCACTGACGTCTGCTGACCACGGATTGTCAGGACTGGCTCTATGTCCATTGTGGGCTTGCACGGGGGATGACAAGCACTGGACATGTCATTATAGACATGGGGGTCCCAGTAGTGCAGGGCCACAGAGATATACAACTGGGACCTCACCTGAGGGTGTGGCCAGGGAGGGCTTCTGTGAGCAGGGAGTGGGCCCGTTAGGTGAGGTGGTGAGGGTCGGATGGTGAAGGAAGAGCAGAGTAGTCTGTCCAGCAAGGGCTGGCAAAGGCAAGCTCAGCAAGTTTGAAGAAACTGAAAGAAAGGAAAAGTGAGTGGTGAGGGAAAGTGCCCAGAGCCTGTCTGTGTGAGGCCTTCTGGGAGGGTTCTGGTCTTCACCTTGAGGGCAGAGATGCCCTGGAAGGCTGGCAGGAGAAAGACTGAGACGGAGTCAGACCCATGTCTCACAGGGGGACCTCTCAGGAAGCATGAGGAAGGTCAGGTCTGGGTCAAGGGCATGGGGATGGAGGAGGTCTGGCATGTATAGGAGGTGGTGGGTAAGAACAATTACAGCAAAAATAATAAAGACCACTCCCCCATCCAGAGCTCACCAGCATTTCTTCTGGAATAATGCATTTAATATTCAAATAAGCCTATAAAGTGGGTGTTTGTTTATCAGCATTTTATAAAATGAGGATCTGAGGCACAGAGAAGTTAGGTGAATGGCTCACATTCATGCCAATATATGGCCATGGCTGGGCTGGAACTCGGGCAGTCGGAGGCTGGAGGCCACGTGCCTACTCACCACGTCGTCTGCATGAGTTTCTCATGGCTGCTGTAACAGGTCATGACACACTTAGTGACTGAAAACAACACAGATACACTATCTGACAGTTCTGAAAGTCAGAAGTCCCAACACAAAGGTTGGCAGGACTGTGCCCTCTGAAGGTTCTCAGGCAAAATCCATGCCTGGTCTCTTTCAGCCTCTATAGCCACCCGCTCCCCCCAATCCCTCCTCAGCTGGTGGCCTCTGCCTCCATCTTGAAAGCCAGCAACGTATCACCTTCAAATCTCTCTCTCTCTGACCTCTGCTTCCATCACGTCATCTTCTCTCTGACTCCAAACCTCTTGTCTTCCTCTTATAAAGACCTTGTGATTACATTGGGGCCACTGGGTAATCCAGCATAATCTTCCATCTCAGGTTCCTTGCCCCTTTTGCCTAGTAGAGTAACACATTCACGTTCTGGGGTCAGATATTTGGGAGTCCATATTCCCTCCTCTCCCAACAGGACTAGTGGAGTCATGAGTTGAAGGGCACAAGGGAGGATGATGAGCGGACTTTCTGGCCTTGGTAGCTGGCCAGATGGGGGTGTCATGTGCAGAGATAGGGAGTGTGAGATCTGGGAGCCATCAGAGTTGGACGTGTGGAGACTGACATGCTTGGAGATGGTGACGTGAGGATGAAGCAATGCCAGCTGAGCAGAGGGGACAGGCCTGCAGGTGGAGGTTTGGGGATCACTGGCATGTAGCTTGTCTACATAGCAATGCAGCCTGCCAGTTAAGTTCTTAGCGCTCAAGTATGTGAGCTCGTGTCTGTGTGACCTTGGACACAGAGCCTCCACCTCTCAGGTTTAAGTAGGAGTCAGGACTGCTGCCCTCAACTATGTGGCAGCAGGGACGGAACTTACCCTCCCAACTAAAGCAATTGAAAAATCAGGCAAAATATGTGAGCCAATGGTTCCCCAACTTTTGAAAATTAATAAAGGACAGGTAGATATGCCTGAGAGATGAGAAAATAAGGTCATAAAGGCTCCTGTCTTCTATGTTAGTTGGAATATTAAGTGAGATCATTTAATTTAAGCCCTCAATAAATGCTGCTATTATTACTGAAGCCAGGGTAGGAGGTGGATGAAATGGCCTGAGGGAAAGTGGGGTGAGGAGAGGATAGCCTGTGGACCACCAACGTGGCAGGAGAGCTGGCAAAGGGGACAGAAAACAAGCAAGAAGCACTGGTGTTTCTGGGTTCAGGGGAGCAACAGTTTCCCAGGAAGCTGTTGACAACCATGCTTAATGCTGTGGAAGGTCAGGAGAGATGAAGGCCAGAGAAGCCCTTCAATGTGGGGGTGCAGACACTCACTGGGGCTGGCAATTCTTGCTAACAATGAACCCTAAAATCTGCAAACAATTTATATTTATAATATAGAAAATTTGGAGCAACCCAAGTGTCCCATGCCAGAAGGTTTGATGGCAGATGACACCATGCACAGCAAACAGCCGTGAGGTAAGGGGAATTCACACCAAGAGGTATGGAGGGCTGTGTGAAGTGCCTCAAATGGAAAAGGTGGCTAGAGAAATGCGTGTGTAGGCTTACCTCATTTCTGTAAAAGATGCATGTATTTCCAGGGGAAAATGGTCTGGAGATTTATATACCAAACTAGAGGCCTGATGCACGAAATTCATTGTGCAAGAGTAGGCCTTCCTTCCCCCGGCTGCCAGCACTGGCTTCCCTCTGGCACCAGGACCTGGGCTTCCCCCTGGCCGCTGGCAGGCACCTGGGACCCAGGCTTTCCTCGCAGCCCCAGCTTCGTCCAGTCTAATTAGCATATCATGCTTTTATTATTATAGATGATAAACATTGGTATTTAAGGGAGTTGGGATTTGGGATAATTATTTTTAAATCTATGTGTTCAAATTTTTCATCATTTTAATACCAATAAGCAAAATGGTTTTCTGATACATTGTCCAAGTCATAAAAAGAATAATAAGGTTAAGTTATTTGAGACCTGTTTTAAGACCAAGGTCTGGGTGATGGTGATCCTTGTTTTCCGGATCCCACATGTGCCATCTTTATGGGGATGCCAGGGGCAGACAGGAGGAGACCACGGAGTGTCCCTGAGGACTGGCCCAGGTGACTACTGGCAGCGCACAGGAGGAAGCCATTACCTGGGCACCAAGCACA